CTATTCCCCTTCACTGCTGATTACCTGGACCCTGATTCTCTGTTTAAACATATAGCTTCATTTCATGGGTGCTGCTGCATGCCTCGGATTCCTTTTGCCAGCTGGCAGCCTCATGATGCACAGCTCTGGGGCATTATGCATGGGGTCAGGCAGCAGAAAAGAGCCCTTTGTGATGTTATTACAACTCCTGGAACAGATGTGGGTTCAGATAATAGGATATGTACAAATAGTGGAACTCTGGATGCCCATGAAATGTTGGCTGAATTTACTGCTTTATTCAGTGGACAAAACACATTATGGAGCGGTCCACATTCTGACCTCTGTCACATCTTGGTTCACCTGGAATGAATTCAGTGCAGAAGAGGTCAGGATCTGTCCTTTATCCTTCCTTCCATCGTCTCCAGGAAGCAGCAAGTGAATATCCACTATATAGCGCAATGGAAACTCAGCCTTTCCACCACAAGCCTGTTCATCACCATCCCATGTAACAACAACTCCTTCTTAGCCTTGTTCCTTTTTGCAGGAGACACCTCCAGTTCCCTAACTCTCTGCTACCTGTTGTCCTCATTCTTTATCAATTTTCATCTCTCATTTGCCAAGTGGCCAGAAGAGATGCTAGTGTGAAGGCCAGAGAGACTGCTCCCTCAGACGTTTCACTACATTCCCCAGAAACCTTTTGCATCAACAAACTCAAGTGGTGATTTCTGGGCTGTTGGAAAAGATAGTGTGATACTTCAGTGGTAGGACAGAGGTGACAGAAAGAGGTATTTCTGAGATGGGTTCTCCCAAATGAAACACACTGTGCTCAGTGAACTCAATGTGATAAAATACAATTGCTCTAAAATTCAGCAAAATATTCTCTGGAGGGAGGGCAACCACTTGAATGCTTTCATTGACTGGAAATATCACCCAAGTTAAAATTTTTAATACAAGATAGCTCAAACATGGAAATCAAGCATGAGAAGTGAAAACTCGCTCATTAGAAACTTATCATCCTCCAGCACTCCTTACTACCTCATTTTAAGACAGATAAACTAAAAAGCATGGGACAGGGCTAGCAACCATCCTTCAAAAAAAGGTTCCAAAAGTAGCAGGATAATATATGGGAGCAGCACTTCAAGGCAGGACAGAAAACTCATAAATAGTTAATATACAGCAGGTTTTGGCCTCACAACACAAAGCACCTTATCTTTGTGTGTATGGGGAGGTGACATTATCCCCATTTTACGGCTAAGGAAAACGAGGCACAGAAAGGTTAATGACTTACCCAAACTGACTCAATGACAGTGGCAGGAATAAAGCCTCAACCCCTATATTTGCTACCTTCTGCTCTATGCCTTTGGTGACAGCACCTCCAGAGAGATGTGCTGATGAATTATAACACACAGCAAGTGCTTCCCTATTCTATGACACAACTATATGACACAGAGACTTGTAAACTATCATAAAACAGAAGCATAGCATCAGTGATCATTTTTTGCATAATCTTTATGTTTTGCAATAAGACAACAGGTCAATTCTTGCTCAGAATCAATCCCCACTGAGCTAGCAGTGACAGTTTCATAAACTAGGTTCAGTCCTTACACACATTGCATTTTCATCAGCACACACTTGCAGCTCAATGAGTATTTGTGTCCATAGGAGAATCACATTTCCCCACAATGCATCTTCTTTTTCCCCAGAGCAAGGCTGCAAAGCCATAGCTGTTCTAAAAGCTGTACCAAAGCAAAGTAGCAATAACTGGCACAAAGGCAGGCATGTAGTTTGTAGCAAAATGTTCTGCTTACTGACTCAGAGAGGACACTGAAACCTCCATGGACTGCCAGAAGGTTTGTGTGGGAGATGCAGAACACGAGTTCTCAGCTAGATCATTGGCTAGACTTTCCAAAATCTTCCAAAACCCTCCTGCTTCCAAAAAGGCGTCTGCACCCAAAATAATTGGCACAGGGTTTACAGTGCAAAATAATACCAGCAGAAGAAAAACAACCTTAATTTTCCAGTGTGAAAGCATGTTTCACCTTGCTGAAAGTCATATTCCATGTTCCCCTCCCCAATGCACTGCACCCTGACAGGCCAGCAGCCGACTGGCAGCTCCTAAATCCATTTGAAAGGGAATTTAACCCTTGCTGATTTCATTTTCCAACAGAGTTACAGGACACAGAGCACACGCAACCCATGCTGTGAGGGCAGCTAGATGGCACCCATTAAAAAGGGCAGTGCCACACCAGCTGCTGTGAGAGGCAGCAGGAAGGAATCCCCATCCTGGGGCTGCCCCCTGCCCTGGCACCAGGAAGAGAAAAAAAAAAAAAAAAAAGAGCTTGGAAGAGCCCTCAAGAAAGGAAGGTAGCGCCTACAGGCTTACTGGTGTCCAGAAGTATTTTACACTCTGCCTGGCACGTGGTGGGTTGTCTGGCATAGGTAGCCTCCAAATAGTTGTTACGTTTGCCAGTAAAGAGATAGATGGATCCTGCACATAAGGCATCCCCCCTTTCCCTCTCCCCAGATATGTGAGGAGCAGCAATGTTAGACAAAGCTCCCAAGAGATGCTTAGTGCTTTGAAGGCTCAGCCACTTATTTTCCTTTCTCCCAAAGCTGTTACGTGATCAAAGGAGGCAGATGGAGGAGGATCACTCTGCAGCGATATGTAAACGGAACAAAAAGCCTGATAAGCCTCTGCCATCTCCCTGTGATCTTTTCTGAGATACATGCTGAGCAGAAAACTGTACAGTAGCAGGGTCCGCCATTTCACACAAGAGACCAGCACACTTGCTCACCAGTTGGAAGCAGCTGCCATTTCTCACAAGCATGTCACGAAGCAACATAATCACATTTGCCCAGGCAAAGATTATTTAACAGGAAAATCACAAAGCGAAGGAACATGAGAGCAGACCAAACGAAAATACTTCTCTTCGTATTGATATTAAAGCCAAGTCTGAAAAGGTCAAAATCAACCCCTCAGGTATGATGTACTCAAGTCCATCATGTTTCTCATCTGCTTAATCCTAAAACATTATAACTGCCCTTAGTGTTGCGGCAGGTCCAACTCATTCCTAGCAAAGCAGAATTTCAACATTCCCAACCCACGTCTGGGCAAGGTCAGAGAAGATACAATGATCTGTGACTGGTCAAGCAGAAGTGTCCCAGAGGCAAGCACATGAGCAGGATTTTGACCCTTCTAGTGAAAAATGAAGTTAGCATGAGCTAAGGAAAGAAAAGGTGATCATAGAATAGACTTCAGTAAGGAAGGTCTGAAAAGGACAGAAAAAAAAAAAAGAAAAAAAGGAAGGAAAACCAAAGAGCATTGAAGACTATTAAAAATCAAATTTAAATAAAATTATGTTCTGTTTCCTTCCTGCCATTAGCTGCCAGCAAGCTCACTTTTTTCCTTAGCTTTGACATAAATGTACTGTTCCCACATGCCATGGAGATAAGGACACTATTACAATAATGGCAAGACCACAGGAGAAAACAACTCACAACTGCACCCATCTCCTATTAAAACAGGCACATCAACAACAGGTTTCCCATTCTGATTAAGACAAAAAACCTGGTCCTGGGAAAAAGGCTGAAGCAAGGGGCAGGAGCAGAAAGACAGCTATTCACTTTGTGGCCTATAGCAATCATTTCTTTTGATGTGGCATTGTTTCCATTCATTTCGAAGGAAAACCTTCGGTATGGCTAAGGAGTAAGGAGAGGTGTCATTGCACAATTTAGGGCTTATGTCTCACTTCATGAAGCCTCAAGATTTGCAAAAGGAAGGGTGTGCCCCACCAGCCTGTGTGGTGATCCCTTTGAGGGCAGGAATGGGATACCACCTGCAGTTGGATGACATCAATATTGGGAGCAGTGAGCTTGGAGAAGAAATACACCCATCTCACTTTACAGGGTGAGAGTAGGGTCTGAAAAGGTCAGGCCCCCATTCCCAGGGACCAGCTCAGCTTTGCTTTTCTGATTTGCTGCCTTTCATTTTTTGTGTGAATGTCATACCAGGGGAAAAAGCCCTAAAAGAGTGGGACTATCTCTTAGAGCCTAATTAGCCAAGTAGAAATCACTCATGTCTGCTGCATCAGGCTCAAGAGCTACTTGAGTTTCTTCTCCATACCTACAAACCAGACTGGTTCCTACAGTTCCTAGATAGGATCTGGATTCCTGAATACACATTAGGAACAGGGACTGCCTTCTCCCTCTGCTTGGCCACAGGCTGAGGAAAAAATGATAACTGAAGGTCATTAAGGCAGTTGGAATCGGAAGGCCATTTTTCTCATTAAAGTGTAATACTAAGAAATGAATTGCTACTGTGGTTCATGCATTAGTAGTTAGATAATTGCTGCAGCACTTGTCATAACAGAGCACTCGATTGCCACCACACACACTTCGAGTGGTAGGTTACACATCAAGCAGCCTCCTAGACAGGTACTAATTGAAGAGCCAGGTGTTACACTTTGCTAGCAAAAGGAGGCTGGCTCTCCATGAAGCAATTACATATGTAACACTATATTACTAAAAGATGTAGAGCTTATTTCTTGCATGTCAAAATGCTATAGCTTCTACATACTTTGAATATGAATGCTGGAGCTGTTAACATATTGGTGAACTCTGAAATAGCATTCCCAAATCAGGGTTCTGTTTCTAGTGGATGAAGGCAAATTTCTGAAGAAAGTCTTTCGCTTTCTCAGGTATTCACCTTCCTGTATGTGTCTGTCAAGAGAATGACTGCCTTATTAGATTCCCAAAATCTCTTCCATGTAGGGGACCCAAGAGCATAAGCTGATTGTTTTTAAAGGGCTAAGCATCAGACTATTTCCTGAATTATAGATATGTTTATGTTGAAACAAATGCTTTTGTTGCAAGGCATCCCTCTGCTTAGACTTTAGAGATCATGTGCTACATCAGAATGAGGGGTTTTTAAAATGAGCTGTCTGTCTTCCCCACTCTCTGGGTAACTAGATACATGTGTAATGCATAGGATAGATTGTCCTTTTTTTAAAAAAAAAAAAAAAAAAAAAAAAAAAAAGGCAATCTGAGAAACAAGAAACTGCAGCTGAGACTGGAATGTGGCACATTATAAATAAGGCAGGAGACAAGATGCACTCTGATGGCTGAATACAGTAAGGTTATTCAGCTCTAAGCCTGCCTGATCACTGAAGTCAAATGTAATTAATTTACTGATGTGATCAAGGCCCGAGGGAGGGAATTTTCCTCTTTTGAAGGAATGGCACCATACATGGGCCAGGAAATCCCTTGGCCAAGGCAGGGTATGTTGCTCCAGTGCACATGTACAGGGAATGAGAGAATGCCACTCTGTGGGCACCACCATAAGCAGGGGTGCTGGAAAGACACCGGGGAGGGAAAAGGAGGCCCCTGAGCTTTGTTACCTGCAGAGATCTCAGCTAGGCAGTCCAGAGAAGCGTGTACTGGTAACTCCTCAGCAAAGGCTGAGACATCATGACTCCTCTATAAATTCTGCCCTCCTCAAGAGCTGGGCACAGGGCTGGCTTATAGCTTCTCTTGAGGAATTTCCACAGTGCAGTCATGAGCTGCATCCTGCCCCTCCAAAAGGATTTAAAGCACTGAAGCTTGAGACACCTCTTCCACATAAAATTCTGGTCTTCATCACTAAGCTAGCAGGCAATTTAGCACATTACTGAGTTGCTGTTGCAATCAACAGATTTTGGCAGGCAGCTCATGGGATTTTAAAGCTGTAGCTAACCATTACTAAGAAAAATAGTTGCCTACATTGTTGTTCAGAAGGCAAAATGAGTTGAGTACCACAGTGAACCCTGTAATACTGTGTCCTATAGCTTCACTGTTATCCAGAAAGGCGGAGGTATATGATAAGCTGTTTCCAGGACTGCTGAAATGACTACTCACATTTGATGCTTTAGATTAATTAGGAGGCTAATAACTCAATGTCACTTTGGCTCAGATTCGGTGAGGAAAGTAGAGGAAATCAACTTCTGATGAATGAAGAAGAACAGGTATAATGGAGATAGAAATGTTACTTTCAACAAGCTTAAACATCATGCTTGTAAAATACTTGTCCATGGATATTAGTCTGGTGAAAAAGCAGCAAAATGTGAGGCAAAGAAATAGACAGACCTCAAATGGATCAGCATGAGGAAATGGTTCCTCTTGGAGTACAAGGCCAGAATTGTCCTTGGAGAGTTTTGAGGCATCCAAATTTCCAGCATGTCCATATGTTTCTTGAGTACCATTAAAATCCCATCAAGCTTAAGGCTACCAATGTACCTTGCCCATTTCATAGCTTTTACCCAGAGTCAGATCATCTCAACATGCTTTTGATATACTGGAAGGGTCAACACATAAGCATACTCCACAGGAGGCATCTGGGATGGCTGAAAGGAAAATATCAACCTTCAAGGTGAGGTTGTGTGTTAGTGACATTCGCTACCATGACAAAGACAAAAATGAGAAAAGAGGACATGAAATAGTACTCAAACAAACCTCCCACAACCACTTCACCAGAAAAACCATGTGCCCCATCTATTAATCCATAACAGCGCCAGCTCTGCAAATACAGATGGGAAGATCAATGGCAACAAAACATCAATTTTGTTCTATTTTCTTTAGTCTACAGTGCTTCTATATGGCAGTCTTCATGTACCAGGAGACATCTCATGTAGTCCGAATCCAGGCTATGGCACCATGAGTTGAGACTGAGCAATTCTACTGCTGCTGGGGAAAAGCAAGGGTGACAGGTGTCAATAAAAACCTCTACAGACATCTTAAAAGTGCTAAAACACAGACAAGCCATCATATGAAATGGTGAAAGAGCCATTAGAGTTTGAGGCTTGTTTTGTAATGGGCAAAATTTGCCTTGAGCTCCTGTCTTACATGAGTCACTCACACATCACAATATTGAGAGATAATATAATTAGTGAGAAATATATATCACCATGTCTTGGATAACACAGAAAGATACCTCTAGCATTGAAACATGAAATAATAAGAGTAACTGATACTATTAAATAACAAAAGTAAGTTTATTTTATCAACATTATAAATATTTTCTTTCCCTCCATTAAACTCCAAGATGAGATGGTAAAATCAGTACAATGGAACAATTCAGGAGCTCCTCAGTTCTACTGAAAAGGGTTCCCTTTAATAACAAATTAAAATGGAAAATGACATTTTGTCAGTCCAGAAACCTCAGTAGCTGAGCATCCCTAGGTACTTTTTTCATTCAAATGGCACAATTCTAAGTGTGTATGCATATGTGTGTGAATCTATATATATGATCTAGATATACATATATATAGTAATATACACACATAGACACAGCCACTGAACAGACACTTTTAGTAAATCAAAATGTTTTGCATGTAATTTAAGTGGGTTCCCATCTGCATGCTGAAATTTTGGCCCTGCACAGTGCAGGCACAATCATATTGTACTAAGCTAGACCCCAGGTGTTCAAGAGAGAGAATACGTACGTGTCACCTTTAACTGCTGCACAGTCTGCCTGCTTCTGGTGGCTGTCCAAAATTGAGAATCCCACTGCACTTGAAAAGGGGTGAGGAATAAATCTGCAGCATCCTGGCCCCAAACTCTTTCCTTTAGTTCACTAAACTTTTGATACCCCTGGCCATGTGTGTGCCATTGCAGAAAACAACATACATGTTCTGTTATCTACAAATACAATACATCACCAGTATCTAATGCATTATGTGTGCAGTGCTTTGGGACACCTTGAAAATTAAAGGCACTACATACAGCCAGCTCCTGTCCTACCTCTAGTGCTGGGGTTTATTTTCATCATACAGTAACTGCTTCCTACTGAGCACACAGTGTGGGCAGCTTTCCAGAGGCACAATAGGCTCACTCTGATCATAGCATCTTACTCCAGCTGCCGGGGAAAACAGCAAGCCAGATTCTCTCATATGCTCCAACTCCTTTGAGCCATCCAAATGGCACAATGGAGTTTAGAAAATCTTACCATCCTGCTAAGCTGCTCCAGAGCCAGCCCCTGTTGCAGCCACGCCTGGGGCACAAGGGATGTCTCACTGAGAGGAGGACCACTGGGGACAGAGAGCGACCAGACCCAGCTCCCTTATCCCAGTGCAGACGTGGCCTCCAGAAACTACCTGTGATTAGATCAAGCCTTTACTGATCCACCTCGTCATGGGAGTAAAGGACCAGGGAGCTGCAACGAGCTTCACTGGCTGTCCTTTGCTCAGGCACCGGTCTGGCCTCAGACAGGACAGAACCAAGCCTCTGGTGTCATTGAAGCTTCTTCTGTTTTTCACATCAGTAAAACAAAACAGAAAGATAAAACCAATATTAATATAATTCTTATTTTTGTCAAATATATAGAAATATTAACGTGTTTCCTCACAGCTGGAAGATAATGCAAGGCCTACCATGAAAACACAGTATGAGGATCTTTCTTGTGGAAATTTCACATACACAAAAATTATACTCTGAGTTTTTATTTTAACAGTTGCCAAATTCAGTTCTAATATATACACATATTGATCTTCGCCACAAGCCCCTGTATGATTATCAAGGGAAGGAATTTGGCTTCCATATTTTATTTTTTAAACAAGAAAGATAAAGACAGAAAATAAGACAAAATACATTTCATGTCGCCATTGATCTATAGATTACAAATATATATAGTTTCCTTCCAGAGGAAGAAATACTAAAGAAATATTTTGCTCATATCAAATGAACTTTTGAAAACAGGAAAAAAAAAAAAAAAAAGTATATTTTTCAGCTCTTCCCTCTCTGCCACAATTACTCTTGTTTGGTTGGTTTTGTTTTGTTTTTTTTTAAAAAAAAAAAAAAAAGATCACATTCATTTCATTTCCACAATGTCTACCAAGGAAGAAAAACTTATCTGAATAATGACCTGAGTTATTTTCATGGTTTCCAAACTGCATGTAATCCCAATGATCACCATCTACCAGAGACTTACACCTAGCAAGGCGCATGAAAACAAACACCAGTGGATCTTTCAAAACAAACAAGAAATCATAAATCTGTTTAGGAATTATGCCAAAAGTGGGCTGGGGGTGTCTTCATGGGAACTGGTCAGACAAATTGGAAGTGGAAGCTCTTCTGTTTCTGACAGCTGAGTTGTCTGTAGTGATTGAAAACCTGAAGGTGAAAATTTTGTGTATGCCTGTGTGTATCGGTGTTTGCTTTCTCTTCTTCTGTGGTTATAAACTTTGAGGCCAGGGAACGGATGAGTACAGAAGACATGGCTGGCCTTTACAGTGGCTAAGCAACTTTACGTTTCCAAGCCTATAGTGGATAACAAGGCAAAGAGATGTTGCTTGTCCTTCTCCAGGGGGGTAGCCCCTCTAAAACTGTTTCCTTGGGGAATCAGACAGTTTACAGGTTCAGCCAAAGGAAGTTTTCCCATTACCAATGCGACTGGGTCAGTGCTTGTTTGTGTGTTGACAGCAGCAAGCCTAGGCTGACCACTGATATTCTAGAACTTCTTACCTCTGGCTGCAACACAAAGGAGACTGAGTCCATAAGTCAGTCCATCAGAACCCCCTCTGTATTGCACAGATCTCTCCCCAGTGTAAAACCCATCTTTTCAAAAGTGAAAAAGAGTTATCAACTTTTAGGCAGGCCTGAAACCTAAGCAAAATTGGGTCAGTCATTGTACACATGATGGTGGTGTGAGAAACCTCACTGGTAACTTTCTGCTCTGCCATACAACAGTATGGTGTACACCATATAATTCCTTCCTGTACAAATTACTGTCTCATAAGGACCATAACTGTATACCCAGCAACAATGAGGAGAAGTTAGGTTTTGTTACTGCTGTAAATTTAACTGTGCCTCACACCTTGAGAAACAAGGCAATAGGCAGAGTCCTCTCCAAAAGTGAGAAAACTCCACGGTGACTGAGCACAGAGGACGCAGCTTCCGAGAAGAGAGCAATGGAGGAAATGCAGCCAGTAAAAATTTTGAGATTTTCCTAAGGGCATCCAGAGCTCCTCAAATTTTTTGCTACTGCCTGACCATTTGTGAAGACTTAACACAGAGTTAACAGGTACTAGTTAACTGATGAGAAGTGAGGGGAATGGGAGATTAAAAGGAATGAAGGAAACTCTAGGGATGGAGGAGGACCTGGTTAGGTATTTTAACGTCCCAGTTAGTCTGGTTCCCCCTCACCCTCTTTTCTCTTTCCTTTTCTTTTTTTAAATAAATTGTACAGATGAACATGGGAGAAGTTCATGCTACTTGCTGGAAGCAATAAAGGTAAATTTCCATGGCCCATGGATTCCACAGACCTTTGAGTGTCCCGCCTCATCCATCATGGGCTAACTTATGGAACCTAAACGTTCCGTGGCAAGACTCAGTAGCCCTTAGAAACTGGTGGCATGTCCTCAGGTATTTTCCATGAGAGTGAGAGACACGTTGATTCCATCAGCTTCTTCCTCACACGATGCCCGAGTGCCTCAGGTACAGCCTTGTGATTTCCAGGGATCCTCTTTGACATTTTCAGACATCAGACTGCTGTCTCCAGATCCTCGTGGGAAACCATTTGGTAGTTTTGTCGACTCTCCAAGTAGGAGGCCAGATCTGGGTCACCAGCTTGCTGAGCCCTGTCACGAGGGGTCTTACCCTATAATAAACAAACAGGAAGAGAAAGTCTTGTGCTAACATATTCAGAATAACAGATGAAAGCGCAACCCAGATAAATTACTACAGAGATGACAGAAGCAAATTTAGAGAATTTACTTATTTGTTGTACAAGCTGGTGTTAACTCAAGTTTTCCTATTAGAGTCTGAAGGTTTCCAAAGTCCTTGTGCAGTTTCAGGCAAATCATGCAGTTCTGCAAGGACATGCTATTTATTACATCACACAGAAGGGTTCACACACTGGAGGGAACTGATTTTTCATTCTAGGGCTACTATGTGAATGAATATGATGCAAAGTACTCTAGCTATCACTTACAAAGGGCACTTCACAGGCTACACACTTTGCTAAGGATGTGCAGAGAGACATGCCCAACATTTGAGATGAGTTCAATATGTCTCATTCTATCTCAAGTACAAATCATTTTTCAGTGCACCAATTTGCTACTCCATTGTCTGAGCTATCTCATGTTAATTTATGTTAAATTGAACCACAAGTCTTGACCCTAAACTATGAAAAAATATTATAAACACATTAAAGTCTCTCCACAAAAACATTCTTGGTCCTTGGATTTCTGGACAGATGAAGATTAACAAGTCAGAGGCCACTTGCCTGGATTTGCAGAAATTATCTTTTGCGATGTTCAGTACTCTCATCCAAAAAAGAGATGATCTCTCTCTCCCCCTTATAGGCTACCTCATACAGCATAACATGGTAGGAGCTGTTTGTAATTGTCTTGCTGTGGCAAAAGTGCTTCTGACTCTGGAACCCAGAGATCCAACAACCTCTCAGCTGCTGACCATCGCTTATGTTCACAAATGCCAGAAGAACAGCTTCTGAACCATGTTCCTAAGTGATTGTAGTATTGACAGAATATTCCTAGGGTTTAATCTTGCCCAGACTATTTTCTCAGCCAAGTGTACACCAAGAGAGGGTTATGGTTAGTGTCACATCGGTGAGCATAAGGGCAAGCAAGGGCAAACAAAATGGTTAGCCATCCTCACAAAGCAAGTCAGCCACAATAATCAAGCCTCACAGACACTATGCAATCACAAACCAAGGCTCCCTCAGGTGGTCCTTGCCCACAGGCCTCTCTTCTGACCACACAGGAGGCAGCTGCTGCTGTGCCATGGAGATGCCTCATTCACACCTAACGCACCGAATAGTTTGAGGCCAGGTTCTCACTATGGTGAAGATGACTCACGTTAGGGACTGAACTGAAGTCTCTTGTACTTGTTTAAATCAGTACAGTTTTCTAAGTACAAAATAGCTTGTTTAAAAAGAGCTGCTCTTGGCACACACAAGGAAGCCTCAATCATGCAAACAGCAGGGACGGATGCTGATCGGTCTCGCTTGGCTGCAGTATTTTATAACTGGTTGATGGGGCTGGGTTACCTTGGAGTCCGTCTTTCTCAGAGAGGCTCCTGCATCCACCAGGAGCTGGCAGATGGCACGATGGCGCTGGCAGGCTGCCTTATGTAATGCTGTCTCACCCCTAGACCAAAGTAGAGAAACCAGCAGTGAGACACATGACACCAATATGCGTTTATGAAGTATGAGGTGCACAGGACAGACAGAGAAGAATGCCGTATTTCTATGAGGTTCCCCTCTTGTTGATAGAGGCAGACTTGTACACTTTCTCCCTTAGCGTCTACATCCTCTGACTCAGTAGAAAAGCCTGCAAGTGCACAAATAGCAGATGAAGAACTTCTGAGAGGTAGAAAAGAAACATGCACAGGTTTTATGTATTCAAAGGACTGAATGTCACATTCCTGTCCAACCACCAGTTCTGCTAACTGCTGTAAAGCCAAACTAGCCACCTTCTTATTTCACAGCTGGCAAAACAGCAACAGTGTTTATTTCTTCCTGAAATTTCTTTCCTCAGCCTCACTCCTGGACACATCCTAGAAAAATTCTGCTTTTCAAAGCCACGACTGGTGCACTTGCTGCCCTGGTTCTGATACCCTGCTCTCTTGGATGTATGAGATCAAGAGCTGTGTTTGTTTTCCACTGCTGGACTAGTGAGCTATTGGGGAAGCCTGAACATATGCTTTTCTAAAGAGAAGGCTGTGTAGTGGGAGCAGATTCATTGCAAAGCTCCTCACTCAGACTGGCACTACATGTAACAGGATTCTGGAACTGACTAGCGTTGAGGTTAAAGATTTATCTAGATTTGCCTGGGAAGGGGAGGAAAGTACGCTTTGAGTGGGTTGAAAAGGTGTCCTTACTACTGTCCACCAAATAGGGCCATTACATAACCTCCAAAATAACAAATGACAAGAAATACATGAGTAGGACAAATCTTGCACCCAGAAAGAGAGAGTGCATAAAGGAATTTCAGCCTCAGTCCAGGACAGGGCAAGTTGAAATATTACTAGGCAACTTTGTAATGAATCTGCCTCTGCTGCATGAGAACTAGATTCAGAATGGGATACGATCTGATTTCCCCCTGAGGATCAAAAGACAAATTCATGCTGCCAGTTACAGCTTGAACCTTCCCTTTTTCAAGCGTTAGTGGTAGAGGGACCTTTGTAAAGGAAAGCCCTCATAGCCATGTTCACTTGCACTTTATTTCAGTGACTGTGCTGTGTTACTGGATGAAGAGAAACAGGCAGTCCATCCAAACTCCATCACCCCTGGAGTGCACACATGCACTTTGTGCAGAACCTTTCTGGTGTTCTCTGTTAGCAGAGGACACTGTGGGATGAGGAATGGTAGGTTTAACCCCTATAAGAAGGGCAAATTTTGCTTCCCATATATTCCATATACTTTCCAGGATTATTGATGCTTCCCTTACATACTCTTTGTGACACCTTGATTATACAACAATACATAGAGCAATTGGGAATTATAAAGGAAAGTGGTTTTTTGTTGGTGTTTGGTTTTTGTTTTCTTTTTGTGGGTTGTTTTATTTTTTTTTTTATAACAGCAGAGGTGGTTGAGGTTCTCACTATTTGACAGAAATCTTCAACTGCACAGGTTGTGGCCACCTGAGACAGCTAATGCAGAGCACCCTGGATGAACCAAGAAGGGAAGGAAGAAAAGGTGTAGAGCAAGAAAAGTAATTTCTAGATTTCTGGAATTTACTCTTCAGGTTGCTCCCTCAGTAACTGGATGCCAGAAATGTCAAAACACAACGCAAGCCTTGTATTCCTCTAGAAAGATTAAGGAGGCATGGGAAGCAATACAGAGGAAGTCCTTTACAGAATTCAAGAAACATTTGTTTTAGGCCAGAAAGACACATATGAGGTGGTTGTTGTTTGGATTTAGGGGGACTTTTGTTTTGTTGTTTGTTTTTTGAAAAGCTGTGCCATTTTGCAAGCTTTTTTATTTGAAAGTTTGCACCTGAAAAACGAGAGAAATCTGCTAGGCTAATGCACATAAATTGCAGGGCAGGATAGGTTGTACTTACGTTTCACTGTCTGTCATGTCCAGTAATTCAGATGGACCTGCAAAAGACAGTCAGATATGTCATATAGCATTTGCTTACATGACTAGAAGAGTATGATTACCAGGAGAAGGCTCCCAGTGCAAATATGTAAAAGAAGCCAACCAAACGTTCCATTTGCACAAGTATGTCAAACTTTAAGGTAATATTTGCTTGTGCGAGCCCTTGCACTAGCAAAATTCTGAATGCACAGTCTCTGCTGGCATGTCAGTGAGTGGCAGCTTCTAAATTATACTGGGAATGAATATTCATGGAGTTTATTTTCTCAGTCTTCACCTTGCTCAATTAAGTGGTTCACCTAAGTACAGTGCATTGAAAATGCCAATATACTGAAAACTCTGATATATTGCAAGTTAAAATCTATCGTTAGTACTAGAGGGAAAATGTCATTAGGAAGTTGAAATAGCCAAATTCTGTCCTGAATGACAACCCTGTGCTACTCCATTTAATAGTGTTATACAGAATGTAGATCAGGGTGGAATATTCCCAGCAGCCTTTATATTGATATGCAAATCCTGTACTCTACTGGTTAGCAATGATCAGAAAAGTAAGATTAAGAAAAACAGAAAAGATTTTTGTTAAGTGGGACAAAATAATGCATTTATGCTAATGTTCTTCCATCCTTGATATTCGCTACAGGCAGATGTTTATAGCAGCAAATTCCATCACGAATTACAGTGATATGGAAAGACTAGGATCTGGATACCCTTTGAAATGAGAAAAACTTTTCCCACTGCAGTCTGTCTTATTATTCTTCTCTCCACTGCTCTGGAGTATAGTGCCAGATGGTATGGGGCAGTTAGCAAGGGGAACAGTGAAACTTTATAGGAATTTTTCTTCCTGTGCATGAATATTTCTCTTCAGCACAGTTTGACTTTGAAATTCAAGAGTCCTCAAGAGCTTACAGCAAATCTCACCTGAAACTGAGGAATTTCACACTACTTGCTTACAAAGGCCTACACACAACTTCTCTACACTCCTTTCACTCTGAGTATGTGTCAAAATGGATCAGAGCAACCTCTCTCTCCCTCACTGCTTTTATAACATACACGTGCAATATCACTGGGGACAGCTGTCTGCCTCAGCTCCTGGAGCTTCATCTTCTGTCATCATGAGAAAGGGGTGGTCAAAAAGGTAGCATACTGAGTCCCCAACACACAGAACATTGCATACCTGTTGTGGTAGTTCTCCAAACTCATTAGCCACTGCCATTTTTAATGCACAGCACCCTGACTCTACCACCACACATCCTCACTTCCACACTGGGCAGTTACGTGTTTACTTCTCCCCATCAAAAAGAAGACTCACTTATGACCCCTGAGCTCCCATAAGCATGAAGAAAGATACAGGGGGCTAAGCAGGGCCCCTTGTTGAAAGAAAAGAAAGATAATGCCTGAGAAACAAAACAAAACAAACAAACAAACAAAACAAACAAAAAAAAATACTCCTTTACATTTCTTAGGAGAAAATCATCTTCTTTTCTCAAAAACAGAGGTAAATCCCCATGGCTTGCTGCAATGCCACATCCCAGTGACAGGTAACCAGGAACGGCCTTCAGTGTGTTAGAAAAGACACTGCCAAGTAAACTATTATTTCTGCTCATGGATGGGACAAGAAAGGTTGCGATGAAAAGGGTGACTGGTCTGGCTGCATTGGGCATAGAGGTACTTGCCCTGGTAAATGGAAAAAGGTATTAACACATTAGGAGAAAGGATAGAGAGAAGTTAGAAGAATATGACCTGAGAGGGAGGAGAAGGTCGAGCAGAGTGGGTCTGGAGAGAAAAGAAGCCAAGGGTGAAGGAAAAGTGGTCTAGAGAATAAAGAAATAGCAAGGCTCAGTCAGGGGAGCTGTGCTGAGGATTGGGCGGGCATCCTGCACGTACAAACCCGAGGAGGTTCCAGGTACATCCCGCCAGTGTTCAAAGGGTGATCTCCTGAATACTGTCCCAAATAAAGCATTTCATGGGAGTGTCTTAACTTCATTCCAGTCATAAAGGACAGATATTGGGGTTAATCGATCAGCAGCACAACGTGGTACGAGGATTCATTCATTTCATTCTTTCTGGCCTATCTCTGAAGCTGGAATGTCCCAACTCACACACAGCCTGAGCTGTGCTCTTTACTTCATTTTATTTTCACTTGTGCTTCTCTTAAACCATCTCACGCCCTCCTCCTAATTCCCTCTCCCCTCTTTTTTGGACCTCATTTTTACATCAGTCTCCCTGGCGCTGCCAACCGACCATTCCAAATCCCCCTCTGCCCCAGGACAAAAGCTGCACAGATGTGGGAAGGGCTGGCACTGGGAAAGCTAACGGCACTGTCATCCTGACCCAGCGGGGAGGCGGCTGTTTTACTCCGGGACAAGAGGCAGAGAAAGAAAAGGGGACCAAGGCGCAGAGAGAGAGAGGACAAAATAACCCAATAGAAATCCGGAAGGGAAATGCATGAGTGAGATTTCTATCAAGGAAAACAGCAGGGGGGGAAATAAAAACAAAAGATAGAAAAGTGTGGAGAGGTGGAGGGAGGAAAAGAAAGGAGAGAGAGAGAGAAAGAGAGTGAGCGACTTGGGGGCTAAAGAATGGCAGGATGGGGACAGAGGTGGGGGGGAGAGAAGTTCGCATGAAAGGAGCTGAAAAGCATGACACACGGAGGGGAAGCCCAGCTGAGATCACTCTCTTTCCTTAACATCTCAGATAGACTGTCTGTGTAGAATTGTTAACTTTTTTCCTTCTCTCTTTCTGCCCCCTTTCACTCCACCAAAGCCCCTCTCCAGTTTCTCAGGAGGCAAAGCAGCCTGAGCTGGGAATGGGAGGAGGGAAGGGAAGAAGATGCTCAAAAGCAGCTGCCCTTTAGCTGAGCTCACTACAACATAAAAGAGATACTAAATGACCATATTTCAGAGGCATTTCCAAAATATACAGCACCATGCAGTCTTAAAGGCCTCTGGGCCGCTGCACACCCTGCCCTCTACAATGGATGTGGTTACAGCTACCCACAGGAGACCCAATGTTATTAACCCCTGCTAGTCCCTTGTCCTGTCAGTCCTTCACAAAACTGAAGAAGAAGGATATTTGCTTTCAGCAGTAAAGCCTGACATTGTCAGTATTTCTGGGTGTTTATCTGTCAAAACCCTCTTTGTTTAATAACTTGATTCAGGTTGTTATCTGAGGGACAAAACTGGATTTGGTTCCTTACCTTCAAAGAGGGAATATTTTTAAAGTAATAGTAATCTGCAAAGTCAAAACTATTTCAAGCCTTCCCACAATTCCACACTCCTCATTTTCACCCTATGTGAAGACTAACAGGGTCTGTTTTTTACTGCTAGTGTCTTTTAGCTCAGAATTTCCATTGTAGCATAGAGGGTAGTCAAGCTATGGGAGTGTGCCTTCCACCATAACTGCCTCTCAGCCGTGTTGACCTAAAATTTGGTAAACGTGCACATTAAAATAGACTATTTTATACCTTGTGCCTTCTAGGAAAATTAAGCTATTTTCTGCTCAGGCCCGTCACAAATGTCCACTACTCTAAAACATTCTGCAAATCTAGACTTACTAGCAAATGTCAGGCAAATTCACTCTTTTTCAGTGTTGGTTTCTGATGACTATTCAAACTTTGCCCCTGACATACATCTCTGTCACAGCAAAATTCTTTTTCCAAAAGCCTTCTTTGGAACTCCTGAATCTGGTCAGGATGCAAATCCAGACTCACTGATGGCTCTTCACTTTTGACTGTGCAGTGTTAAGAGTAACAAAAGCCTTTTTACCAGAGGATGCTATCTAATGGAGCAAGACACTGAGGTATGAGATAACAGAAATGTACAGGGTGGGATGCTGTAGTGATTGATTGTTCCACCAGAAGTTCCCACCATGAATTCCTAAGGCAACTGTAAATTTCTTTCCTCTCTTCTGTTTAAAACTGAAATACCCTAGATGAACTACAGAATTCTTGTCTTTTGAGTCTCTAGAGAAGAGAGAAGGCAAACCTTGGAATGTCTTGTATAATGGTTATAAATTACAAATAGTTCAGAACTGCCAGATAAAGACTCCAAGCCAAGTTTGATTCTAAATACAGATGATGATTTAGGACGTCCTTTTTCTAATAGAGCTTCTTAAACCTTTCCTAATTTTGTTTGTGTTAAGCAAGTAAACAGTTAACTCTAATGTATATGCATTAGGGTGTGAGACAGTTGCTGATAGAAACACTAAGCAGATGTTGTTCTGAGGCCTACTGAGTTTGGCCCTCAGTTTCAAGCTAAGTGTTCCTTAGCCCGGCTATAGACTGATCTTAAAAGGTGACCCTCCTACTACAAGCAAAAACCCCTGATTTAGGCAGGCAGTCTTGAACAACAGATAGGTCTCTGTGTCTTCCCTTCTTGCACAGGGGATAGAGAGAAACTGTTCTGCAGGAACAGCAGCCAACACAACTGTTCCTGCAGCAGTAAGCAGCTGTCATCCTGACACCTACTACTTTGGTGCATCAGCTGCTATTCCAGGCTTGTGCCAGCCCACTGCTAAGTATCTGGCAATACTGCAGAGCAGTCTCCTTGTGTGACTCATCTCTGCTTTTTCTAATTTAAGAAGGGGTATTTTACTCCCCTTATCTGCAATCATTCTGATCAAGATCACAAAAATCTCTTCCATTAATGTCCCTTGCATATTTGCAGAAAGCACAAAGCCATCACCACAAAGGACAGTCACAGCATCACTACACCATTTTCTCTCCTACATAGTTCCAGTGCTATGAGCGGGGCGGGATTCTCCACTCCTGTATCACATTTGATTCACCCCACTAGTTTAGGCAATTAAAATTCCTGGTATGGTGGGTTTTGTCTTGTTTTGTTGTTGTTTTTTAAAGGTATTCAGGAGATTTTCCTGGTGTGATTAATAATAGGTTTTCTGTGCTGTGTGCTGGAGGGTATTTTGCAGAGAAACTCTTACTAATATTATCTCCAGCCATTATGGGAAGCAGATAAACTACAGAGGAAGTATGGCTGGGCAGAGGTAATTCTAGATTGGGAGTAAGACACATCTTCATCAAGAGTGGATAAGAGCAGAAATGAGAAGCTAGATACAGAAAAAGTCTCAGATATTAGTAGCATTGGATTGGGTCTTATACACTAATTAATGCTGAGAATATGCCAGATGCCAGGGAATGTAACAGAAGAACAAGGACATTATGATGATGATGATGATTCAGCAAGAGAGCTCATTTGTGACTGAGAAGTGCCCAGGATAGAAATGAGCTTCATAAATTGCTTGGTGGGAGAAAGAGAGGAGGCCCCTATTAGAGCACTGTCCCATGTATTCCCTGATCCCCAGAGAATGTTAAACAAACAATGCATTTGGAGGACCCCAGAGGACATATGTCTGGAAAGCTGCAAAAGCTTCCTGCCATCCTTGGGGATAAAGTAGGGAGAGAGGAACTGAGCTGACATTTGCTCAACCTTCTGGTTTGTCTTTGTCTAACAGTCCATAATCCCTCACATTTCTCTATTCACTTCAAAAATTCCCATGCATTCCCTGCTCACATCCTTACCAGTTTAAATGATCCCATTTTAAACCTTCACCAAAGAAATGGTAACTGGGTCAGACTGTGAGTAAGCTAAGGTATATGTGCGTAAGAAAAATCCTGGAGAGGCAGCCATGGCACCGAATTGGCACAGTGAGAAGAGACCAGAGGTAGAAGAAAATAAAGTGAAATTATGTCTGTCTACAGAATTCAGAGGCACATATATGCAATGTGACTAAAGAGATAATCCAGAGAAGTTAAATAGGAGGTAGAGTTAGCACTGGTAAACCTTGTTACAACTGGTAAGAAAAATAGCCAATATTGGGATGTAAGGCCAACTACACTCAGCTATCCATGTGTATGATATTATATATTATGTATCTATACATAAAAGAGTAAAGTAGCAGTTCAGAACCCTTCAGTCAGGTATCTGGGGCACAGTTCAGTTGCCCTCACACAGATACTGCATGCCATTTGATATGCCTATGGGTAGGTCTTTGGTTGCATTTGGAATGACAGGGATGCTTGCTTGGGCTCCAGCTGCCAGTCCAGTACGGATCTCCTATGGGCCTTGTATGTTCTGGATATCCAAGGGCAAATGACATTAGATAGTTATGTTTAGCTAAATGAATTGTGTAGGTAACTCTCAGCTGAATTACTTGCTGGGCCGCAATGACTACTTTGACTAGGGTCTCCCTTGAGCTAGTCATGGTAGAAGTCTGCTGCCATTAAAGATACCCTCCTCACTTCCATCTGATACTGAAAGAGGACAGGTCTCCTCTAGTACCTCTGTCACACAGGAGCAAATTAATTGAGTTATGGATCTCTGTTGACAGTACAGGAATTTAGACCCATCGATTACATGACATCTATAAGTAAACACCTAAATTTAGGAGTCAAGCTCAAGCTAAATCCCACCCCAATTAGCACAAATGTTAACAGATGGATTATTGCCTTTTCCTTTCCTATGAGTTGTGCCTTTTTCTCCTCTGTACAATTTCTTCAGTAACTTTTGAGCATTAGGTAATGCTTATTCCAATTGCCAGAGGCAGTCTCTGTGTTTAGTGCTAACACTGCTGCTGAAATAATATAGCTGATTTTGACATACAGAAGTCAAAATAGCCATTAATATTTTGAAGAGGGATCAGAGAAGAGTTACAAGAAGGTTTAAAGGACTAGAAAACATTTCCTACAGTGCAGGAGGCTGATCACTGGGCTTTATCTCTGCATGCAGAGCAGTGACAATATTACTGTACCACTCTCCAGCAGCCAGTGAACAAAATTACGATAGTTCAACAGGCAGAAACTCCTAAATGTGACTGCCTCAAACATATGTACGCACACAAATTGCTGCACAGCTTGTGTAAGCATGCCTGCAATCCTGTTACTGACAAAGATAAAAAGAGTCGAAAGGAAAAAAGGGAAACGGTATGATAGTAGCCTATAAATATAAATACAAAATGGAGATCATAAATTTTTGTTATCCTGTGGTCTTGAATCTAAGCGAGACATAATATTGGGGGGTTAGAAGGCAAGCTGGGCAATTTCAGTCTAGAAATAGATGCACAGATTCCTGACCAGTGTGTTATTAAATGCTGAGATAATACCAATGGTTGGATGGGCTCTTCATCGCTGTAAACATTTTAATGAAAATTAGATGCTTTCTACAACATATGCTCTAATTGAAAAACAAATTAGTTCAGAGGATTCCTATGCCAGAGGTTCTGACTAGAGCATCACACTGCTTCTTCACAGCCCCCCAACTGATGCCACTGTGAAAACACCCATCCATCTCAAAAGCCATCTTTATTTTTGTTTCCACAACTTCTGTTTCTGTGGAGCCATTACTGTCATTGCTACCACATTCCTAGCCTCCTGCTCACACATGCTGCAGGTAGACATTTTGCTGAGGGTACCCACAGAGGAGTGAGGGCACTCAGCTGCACGGTGAGCTTTTACCTGACTGACATATGGCTGAAGTACAGCTCTCTGTGGCCTTCCCCACTGTGACTCACCATGCTCCAGGATGTATTTCACAATCTCACTATGCCCAGTCTTGGCAGCATGGTGCAACAAGGAGCAGTGATCAGGTCCTTGGATTAACAAATTGGCTCCTTTTTTACAGCACTCTATGAACTGTAAAATATAAAAAAAAAAAAAACAAACAAACAAAAAACCACAAAAAAACAAAAAAAAACAAACAAACAAAACAAAACCACAGAAGGATAAGATGGGAGGAAAGAAAAATATGTAAGCAAATTATTTACTAATTTTCATAGGACATCAGTAGAAAAATGGAATATTACTTTAAAGCCAGATTTTAGGCCCCAATGAAAAAATATATTAAACTAGAAGTATTGACAATTATATGGGTTAAGAGCAGCAGTTTTTGTTTCCTAAACAATGAGACATTGCTACTCTACTAGTGATGAATTATTTCTTGCTAACAATGCTTGCAAACTACTTCTGGTGAAACTGTTGGGATATTTTAAAATATATGTATTTGACAGAAAATTCTGTCTTCTCTACTGAAAATTTCTTTTTTTTTTCTCAGCACAGGAGACAAACACTTTCTGACTAAACCAGAAAACTCCAACTCAAAAATCCACAGGGAGGTGGGGTTCAGTTGCCCCAAATCTCCCATCCTCACTCTCTGAATCCCACCTGGGGCTGGCGGAGGGGGAAGCACTATATGGGGTAAGAACAGACAGAAAACAGCAACCCCTCGGTCTCAGAAATGCTGCAAACTCGGCGGGGGGTGGGGGGGAAAGGGGGCAGGGGGCGGGGGAAAGCCATTTGCAGTGCAGATCACTGCAGAAAATAGGTCGAGGACTGCAACAGTGAGGCATCATTTATGATGCACTACATCTGAAGAAGGTCAAGAAGTTTCCCTGTCAAAGCAAACTCAGGCAAAAAGTTTTCAAGAAGTGGAAATGGGACAATATTTCTATGACTGCTGGTTGAAGGACTGCTCTCTAGATGCTGCAGCCACAAGCACAAGGGCAGAGGTATAGAAGGGGCACCTGCAGGCAAAGAGTTGGCCTAACAGTACTGTCATTTTTACAAATGGCTCCAAGCTGGCTTCCTGCAGATAAAATTGCAATCATTAATCACAGTCCTCATCCAAATTCGAGGGCATGTTTTCAAATCCTGACTTGGCTGCTGAAAAATGCAGCCCGAATAACTGTCAGACATGGAACTTTAGACTTCGGGCACAAAACATTTTTGCATGCCTTTTCCTCCTAATAACTAACAATAACAAGACACCACATGTTTTGAGAGAGCCATCTGATGATAAAATAATAAGCTGAGGTTTGTTTTACCTGGTCTGGTGGTTGCCTAGATAGAAGTTATAAAGCCTCTAGCAACTCTAAGGGCTTGGCCACCAACCTCACTGCCATAAAATATCCTTTTCTGTGTAGGGCTGTGTCAGAACTACCCTGCTCAGCGCTGCATTTGCCAGTATAGTAATTTCCCTGTTAGTAAGTGACACATTGCTCTATGCAGTGCACCATGAATCCTGAGCTCAAAGTTGCAGTCTAACACCAGATCCTATTCACTCAAATTTCACATCTCACCTGACTGATGTGTTCCCCTAATATTCAGGGTTTCCTGGAAAGGCTGTAAAATGGCATTTGCAGTCTCTACAGCAGTCTATTTATGTTTTGAGCAGAGGTGTGATAAAATTTACAGTATATCAGACCTGCAAAAAGCTCTGAAATAGCGGACACTCAGTGCTCTGTACTTACCTTCAGCAGATCGCCAGCTATGACTGCCTGTAAAAGTGCTGCATAAGACAAACAGAAAACTAATGTTAGGCAGAAAGCATTATGTATATAGCCTCACAGCTGAGAACATAGCTCACAGTATGTGCAAGTTAATACCAATGCCCCAATCAACTTGCCTTCTCATATACTATCAATACCAATGCAAGCCCTGCACTGGCAGGCAGATGGAAGACCGCCCATGTTGCACAAAAGCTGTAGGAACATCAAGCCAGTGTTTCCAATGTTGCCCTAGAACTGCATGCTTCTATCTGAATTTTTGCGTTGAGACACTTCAGGGGCCTTTCAAGAGTGGCCACAGGGTGGGCCCAAATCTCTGACACCTGAGCCATCACTGAAGATATCAATGTCAAACACAGTGGAAGCATATTCAGATCTCTCAGACTTTATTCATACTGATGTTGGAGCAGTCATTCAGTCTCAAATACACTGAGAGTCTCAAGTTGCAGACGATTAGGTGGCAAAATAGAAAATTCTTAATAATTATTTGTATTACAAAAACATTTTGACCTGCCACTCAGGTCTGGCAGGCAGAGTCCAACACAGAGCAGGATCCAGTCCCCACCTTTTTAGCCTTTGTAATTTAAACAGACACACAAGGAAAAAGGCATAGATAGGCAAAGCGAACAAAGGCTCACAGCAAGGCAGGACAGAGCTGTGCACAGAGCCAGGAGCTGCTCACTGCCTGCTACTGTCCGTCCCACGCCCATTAAAAAGAAGGGAGACAAAACCCTGGGATTCTGTATTGCCCTACGTATAGGCTACATTCAGCTAAAAACACCATGGTGGCAAGTGACCACAAACATGAGAAGTTGTTTCAAATGTAGAACTATGCAGCTATTTTCTCCTTTTTTCCTCCCTCTCCTTATCATGAGATATATATATAGTAAAAACCAATTATGAGTAATCTTTCTGGGAAAGCACTTACTTGGTTTGCATCTTCGAAAGCATTAAACATCTGCCTCAGTTCATACTTTTTCAAGAGTGCCTAAGCCCATTTCTGTCTTTGAGTCTAGGCAGCGCAATCAAGTTAAGCATTTGTTCAAGTGCCATTCTTGATAAAGATGCCAAAAGCTCACGTGGGGAGGAACAAGGGGGAAAGCAAGCCATAGTATAGCCTTGCCTCTGAAAAAATAACACACAGGAAACTTCACAGTGTGAATTCCACAAGGAGCTTGTTATGGTTTCAGAAACAACACATCCAAACCAAACACTGCAGAAGAGGAAGGGAATGCAAAGACGACTCAACAAATGTCCCTTTCTTTGAAAACACCCTGGGTTGTTCGTGGCTTTCTGGTCTTGACAATGCCTCATGCCCTGACCACACAGCAGTGGGAAAAGCAAAAACTCAGTCCAGCTAAATTCTTACTTGGGAAAGCTGTAGCAGTAATTTTTATAACATTGAATTTAGGGCAGTTTTACAGCAATCATGAGTTAATCAAAGTCCTGCAAATCCATTTGGCATCTGTGGGAGTGAGAGCACAGATTTGAGGGATGGAAAAAGACACTGACAGGTAAGAGCTAGAACTGGAAAAATACATGTACCTCTTTTCTTCAAATTTCATTTTCACTGGTTTACAATCTTCTTTTTTTTCCACAGTAGTTCTAATATTGGCTCAGCCCAAATGAATAGCAGAGCAGAATTTATCCCTTGTGTCATTCATTTTATCTTTTTCCTCCTTTTTCACCGACCTGGTCCCACTGCCACATTTATTCTGTGGGCTACCGCAATTCGGACTTGTATAAAAATTTTGTTGTCCTTACACACATGAAAATCAAATGAACCGGTGACACCAGCTTTTCATTGCCTTCTACATACAGTATTTTAAAGACATGGTTTCCCTGAAGTTACTTCTTAAGAGGCAGAGATACATCTTCTATGTTGAGCATCCATAACCAGAGGTTGGCCTGGTGATAAGGCTATTAGTACAAAGCATCTCCAAAGCACATTCAATATAATTAGACCAATCTTTTCCTTTCTTTTCTAAGCCTCCAATCCAGCAAAGTATTTAGACAGGTGCTTAGCTTTGAGCTAATCACATTCTTTTCACCAAGTCTACCTGCACACTTAAAATCAAGTGCTTTGCTAGAGTAGAACCTATTGCATAAATGAATACATTACAGATCAACAAAACCAGCTGGCATAACGAGCAGATTAGACTACAGTAAAATAATTCAGTGTAAGCCAGGGTGCTGGAAGGCTTAGAAGCTATTGAACTAGAAATGGAGAAAGGTTCTTTAGAATAGGGAACACATTTACATAAACATATGAATATTGCTTAGCACACTAACCCCATAGACCCAAATGGGACGACTGCTGGGCATACTGAGGAGGAGGGTGAAGATGGCAAAAATCACCTGGTTTTTAAAGAGATGGTAAAACAAGTAAGCAGATGGCATTGACAAGAGAGAGCAGACTGAGAAATTGGATAAAAATGCTGTTAACATGCAATGCCAGGCTAGCTTAAAATTACAACCATTAAAGTGAGAATCGGTTTATTTCTTCTGAGTAACACTGGCGTAATATATAACATGAATTATGCACTTGTTCTATCATATCATAAAATACCTTCAAGTCTTAAAGATGCCTCAAAAATTACTTGATTTAATAAATATTTAAATCAAGTCATTATTTTCTTCTCTCCTAAGACAAGCATTTGTCACGACTAATAAAAATGTGGTATTACCTTTTGCATTTATTTAGCAAGCAGATTTATTGCTGATGAAAGGTGACAGCCTGACAAGACTGGAGACTGAAGTGCTCTGTCCAGATAACGAGGAAGCACTCAGTCTGCCACCGTGGTAGACTCCCCAGGCTGCCTTTGCAGTGAAGCTCAACCTTGTCTACTGGTACACCCCTGCAGACAGCCCCTGCTCCATCACTGACCTCTCTGCTGAAACTGCCAGCAAATGTGTCAATCACTGCCCAGGGTGATGGAACGTGACAGAAACAATCAGCTGCTAGGATATGGACAGTCAGAAATGCAGACTGTGTATGTAACAACTGCTAGAGACTAGCAACTTTTAGTTTCCACTGGGATAATTTTGAGAAATGGTTCTAACCACCCCTGTGGCCCAAATTACAGAAGAAACCTCATTTTAAAAAAAGCAAACACAAGTAAACAAAAACTCCAAATAAACCACCCCAAAATGAATTAAAAGACTCAAACCACACACTTGACTTATAGATTAAATATTGAACAACTACAAGCGGATAATGCAGTAACAGAAAAAACACCATGCTAAAAAGGCTGCTAATGGAATTCTGGTAATGCTGCAAGCTAGTGCAGCTTGAGACACAAGAAGAACACCTACTAGTACTCCAATACATGCCAAAACCAATACATTTCCTGTGGCATGTGTCATTCATTATTTCTATGTTAGTGTCCACTGTTTCTATTGGAAACAGCTATTTTTATTTCATATTCTAAAATGTTAATGTGACTGAGCTACAACAAACATTTTTGCTTCCCAGTCATAAAATTAACCTACTAAATCACAGTTGCTCTCTGATTCTGCATGTGAATTCAGCAGCATTAAAACAGCACTGCAAAATCAGTCATTAAACACCGTGAAACAGATAATGAAGGAGTGAGGTATCTGTACTCAGTAACTTCAGAGTCTGCAAGATGCCTAGGAGGTCTCACAGGGCTGCCTGGATGGTCAGAAGATAAAATAATCCTCCACAGAAAGCAACCTGGCATCCCTGCAATAGCTCTTGTTGCATATCTCCCTCCATGGACTACAGAACTTCTAGGAACAATGCCCTCCTATTTGCAGTACCTAAATTAAAGGCCAAACTAAGACAGAGAGGGGATCCTGGAGAATGACATGATGTCAGGAGACATGTCTGATCACCTGCAAGGACAACCAAACAAGGACAAAGTGGGGGGGTCCTCCTTTGAAGGGTCTTTGAGGTATGATACTCCTGGGACCAGGCAATGCTCATGCTCTCAGAAGTTTTGGGAGCTCTTTGTACAGCATACAGGTACAGCATGAGAATGCTTCATAAACGTAAGGGCTACTAACTAAGACAGACCCACAACTGCAACATGTCAAAAGAAAACAGCAGGAGAGGGACAGAAGTCATTGCCACCATCTTGTTCACTTCAAAAGCAATGAAAATTCTCAGTAGCATCACAAATAAGGAAAACCTCAACCAACAACTACTCCTTCCCATCTGCCCTGCAGGAAAATTCCCTCCTGTTCCCAAAGCTGCTGATCAACTTAACACCAAAGTCATAAGCAGGGCTCAGCACCAGGCTATCATGCCAGAATTTTGCTACTTTTAGAAAGAACACGGAGAAAAAAATTCTTTCGAACCCTCATAGGTAGCACCTCAGGATCACAAGGTTCTTTGTTTAAAGTAGGTTGACATGGAAGATATTTAGTAAGTTAGCAAACTAACCATTAGGGAGTCAGTGAGAGGAGCTTGCTTTCATTGAGAAGAATCTTACAGAACAGTACAGTTCTGCAGTCTACCACCGGAGGGATCATTATAATTTAAAACTATGCTTTAAAGTGCAAGTACCACACAAAGGAGTTGTCACATCCAAGCAGCCAGTTTGAGATCTACGAATGAAAAGCAGTATGAGAGCAAAATATGATTTGCAATAGTATATCTTACCATGGGTTAAAAAATACCAGACGAACAATACATCTGATCAGTGCATGACAGCATTTAAGCGCATGGCAAATTATGGCAGAATTCAACTACCAGAACTCCAACAGAATTAGGGCTCATAAAATCTTTAGCTCTTTCAAAAGACACAATATAAGACAGCTGATGAACTCCAGTGATCAGGACCTTGTTTTTCAGGCAGTGCCTGCAACTGTCCAGCCCTTTCTCAGACAGCTAGCACACCAATTCAGCACTTGGAATTGATATGCCTTCCATGTTTCAGTGATGGATGTTTCTTACTGGTTATAGGCAGCTAATAAAAAAATACTAGACATTAGAGATTTGGTGTGGGGCCCCCAGAATTTGAGCCTCAGTGTCCAC